AACTGGACTGAAACAATATATCACCTTTCACAACAACCCTGGCCTTCAGAGGCCTACCATTATGGACAATTTTTAATATCATGACTTAATTGGCACTGAGAACCCTGTCTTGCAATATGTTAATGCTTCTTAAAAGGCATGTAAAATGGTAACAGGCCAAACTACACCATAGCTAATACATAAGATACAGCAATATTTTTTTCTGTTGTTTGCTGCCAAATCTAGAATTTTCCATCTGCCCCTACACTGACCCACAAACAAATTTCTGTAATTTTCACATGATAGGAGACATGGGGCCCTGATCTAAACCACAGTCTGAGGCAAAAAAAGACCCACAAATCCCCAAAGCATTTACTTTTTTAAACACACAAGATTCACACATCTTCCATAATGCATTTGTGAAGTGAGGTAAAACTATGTGTTAGTATTACTTTGCAAATTAGAATTTATTAAATTGGTCTTCGCAAATTGCTTTTACTCTTAACAACTACCCTCCCTTTCTAATCCTATCCAGATAACTTCTGATGAGATAAATCAAAATTGCCTTTGGTGATCAATGGGTGTCTTTGAATCTTCCACTTTCTGACTTAATTTGATTTGTTATTTTATGTTTTTTATAGTAACTGCTAAGTGAGAATTATTATTTTAATTACAGTTTTATCATTTTAAATAGATATATCAAGTATTTGGATAGTGGTTAATGAGCCCTTTAAAATAATAAATAAAACCACTTGCTATCAGTAACAGAAGATGGCAGGTTTGTGAATCTTTTAGTTTTTACAGTAATTCTAATCCCTGTGCTTTTAAAATTAATTCTGAACAACCAATTCAGTTACAGGCAGTCCTGTCTGCCTCAGTCAAATGGTCATCTTCTTAGCCTCCACTCACAAGGAATGACTTTATTAGGAGGTACCATAGAGATTATAAATAATGTCAAAACTCTCATAATAGTTGCAGTCTTTTAGCCCAAACACTAATTTTGGATTGTTCTCTCACTCTTGGTCTGCTCATCACTACAAGAGAAAACTCATCATCTTAAATTCCAGCATGTTTATCACTGAAAACTATCACAACCTAATTCATTTTCTCCAAAGCACAGATAATGTCAGCATTTTAAGTAAAGTCAGAAATGGCTACATGAAATATCTTAATTTTCTTTCCATTTCTTTCTTTGGAAAGACATTTCACATCTCTCCTTATCAATCCAATTCATCAGGCCAAGTACGCATTGTTAAAAGAGCTGTACTGCATCACTTTTTTAAGATATCACAGTATCTTCTTTTTCCAATTTCACAAATACCCAAGCTATACGTTTATAATTGCAAAACAACCATTATCATTATCATTAATCATTGCAGTCACAAAATGATTATTAGAGTACTTCAAACTTCTAAACTAAAAGGATATAACTTAATTATGGATTATGGAACAATGATATGAAATCAATTATTTCTCTGTTTAGTATAGAGGAATGGTGCAAAAAAAAAAAA